CAAAGGAAATTATTTGTGAAAATAAAAGTACTTGGTTTTGTAGGGTGTGTGGGTGTGGGTGTGCGTGTGAGTGTGCGTGTGGGTGCGGGTTAGACTTCTGCGTGACCACGATTTTTCAGTCACGTCACGCCACGGTCACGAGCTGCTTGGTCACGGTCACGTTCATAGTCACGAAGATTTTTCGAAACTAGTCACGATCACGTCACGGTCTCGAGCTAGCTGGTCACAGTCACGTTCATAGTCACGGAAATTTTTCGAAACTAGTCACGGTCACGTCACGGCCACGGAAATTTTGGATTACTAGCTGGATTTTTGTGCTACAAAATCAAGATTTAAATTGATTTCGTAGATTTTTCCTGTAATAAAACAAAGAAAACCCATAAATCAATTAAAATCTTGATTTTTTTTCACAAAAATCAGACTTTTAGTATCAAAATTTTTCACTGTTAAGTCACGGTCACGAGCCATTTGGTCACGGTCACGAGCCATTTGGTCACGGTCACGAGCTATTTAGTCACGGTCACGATCCCAGTCACGCCAATTTTTCGAAAACTAGTCACGGTCACGGTCACGACGTCTCGTGACCGTGACCGTGACCATTTTGCAGAAGTCTAGTGCGGGTGTGTGTGTGAGTGTGAGTGTGGGTGTGGGTGCGGGTGTGGGTGTGGGTGTGGGTGTGAGTGTGGGTGTGGGCGTGGGTATGGGTGTGGGTATGGGTGTGGGTGTGAGTAAGAGAAGAACTATACCAACACTCACACTCACACACCCACATCCACACTCCACACTCTCCCACACCCATACCCATAACCACACCCACACCCACACCCACACCCACTTCCACACCCACACCCACCCACACCCACATCCACACCCACACCCACACCCACACCCACACACACTCACACCCACACACCCACACTCCACACCCTCCCACACTCACACCCACACCCACACCCACACCCACACCCACACCCACACCCACACCCAGCCACTCACACCCACCACACCCATCTATGCATGTGAATCAATTGATTATCGGTAATGTTTATCACGCAGTTGCTCTCATTATGATGATGATACAAGCATTATGAGCGTCTTTTATGCTTTTTCGGCCACAAAAGAGTAATAGCTTGGAAGCAGTTGAACAATAATAATGCTCGACAGTACTTCACTTTTTTTAGAATCTTTCAAACGAAATTGATCTTATATTATTCACTTGAGCACTAAAATATGCATACATAGCGAATAAAAATATGTTCAGTAAAACCGAACGATACTTTTTTTTCTTTCTAAGTACAAGTTATATTATCAAAACGTATTTTTTGTATTTTTAATGATATTATCTGATGGCTGTATGTCAACAGAATCTTACACACTTACTAGTATCTATAGCACAAAAATATCTATTAGTTTTGAAAATTTGTATATCGAAATATATTTTTTGTTTGTCATCAAAGTATCATCTCATACTTGTATGTTTCGTATTGTATACATCTTATCAAAAAAATTTATTTACAATCCAAATGTTCAATCTCAGTTCACCACTGGAAACAACATATTTCGAATGTGTAAGATTTATTAGCATTATAATATAACAAATGACTTTTATTTTAAAAAAAATTCACATTTAAAAAAAAAGATACATTGAAGAGAAATATTTATCTTAGAAACTTTCCTGACTGTTTTCTACATATTTAACAACTAATCTTTAGTTATCTGTGGGTGCTTTTGCTTTTTCATTTGTATCAGAATTCATATTAACATTTTCTTGTATTTCATTATTTGTAATATGAAGATTATTATCCATTTGGGAACAAACTGCTTTTATATCTTCAAATGATGTATTATTTGATGATGCTATCGATTGTGTTGTATTTGCATCTTTCTTTTTTATAATAATCAGACCATTGATCAATTATAATTTTAGATGGAACATTATTACCAAAGATTAAGTATAATTCATCATGAATAGTATCTGAATCAACATTTAATGCAGTACGAACTCTTACATAAAAGCGAAAATCTTTTTCACTAAATTAAAATAAAATATAAAAAGTTATTTGTTTTATAATTAAAATCAATATAGAAAATGAGTGATAGTTGTTCACTATGAATGATATTTACTTTAGCAGAAGTATTTATTGAGTCATTTATATCTTGACCTTCAAATAATTGTGGATTCTGAGTTTTGAAATTAAGTGTTTTACGATAAAGTATATCCAAAATTGGTTCAGATTGATATAAAGAAGTTTTCATTAGAAAATCTGGATATTTATGACCAACAATTTTTCTAATTTCTCTTATACGATTTGCATCTATTTGATATCCTGTTTTACCAGAATTGACTATAATCAATAATTAAAATATGATATATAGTCAAAGATGAAAGTATAAACTCACTAGCAGCAGAGAACATTTCTGCCATTTCAATAGCTAATTTCTGACATGTACGTTTTGGATGTTTTTCTTTATTTTGATCAACAACAATAGCATGTAAATTATAAATTTCACCATGACTTATAGCACCCAATAAAGATAAACAATAATTTACAACACCATTAGCAGTAATAGGTGTCGGATGATCACTAGGTGATTGTGCTTTATATTCAAGAGGTTCAGTTGTTTCAGAAATTCGTAATTCTTGGTCCCAATAAGCCTAAAAAGGCAAAAAAATCATTATAAATCAAAACAAGAAAAAGAAAAGAAACTTACAAAATATTGATCACCATCAAGATCAGATCCAGCAATTTTATTACAATCTGGTTCTATATAAAATTGAATTTTCAATAAAATGAAAAATATTTATTTACAACTTACGATTGCCCTCAGTTGAAAAGACAATTACATCTTTAAGACAATCAAGTTCAGATAAATCAACAGCATTCAATGTCATAATATCACCAGCATAAGGACTAGAAATAAATTCTTATTTTTTTCAATTCAGAAAATAAATGAAACTTCTACCACGGATTTTTTGTAATAATTACTGATCCAACAACTGTTTTAAATTCTGGATTTTTAAGTGGTTTTCCATTATCATCAACAATTTGATATCGAATAAAACATTGTCCTGGTTCAAGTTTTGATTCTAATGTATAACCAAACATGTATCGACACTGATTCATAGGTAAAGGTATTTTATTTTTAAGCATATCTCTATAGAAAAGAAAATGATGTTTTGTCAAATAAAAATGCATGAAATATAGTTCTATTTACATTTTACAACGTGGTGGTTGTTTTTTATTGTTGGACCATTTATCTTGTAGATCAAGCAATACTGAGTTGGGTACGCCAAGATCTGACAATAGCATAATAATTTGATTGTTAAGTCGAGTTGGAACTATAACAAAAATAAAATTGAAGCATAGGAAAATAGACAACAAAAAACAATCGAAGCATACTCAATCTACTTTCTTCACATATATCTACATCCCATTCATCATATTTTAATTTTTTCATTGACGAACGAATTTTGATGTAAAATTTGATTTAAAGTCGATTCAGGATCGATAATAACGATTCCCTTACATCCTGCCATACGTATTTGATAAACAGATGGATATAATTCCTAATTTATAAAAAGATAAGATCAAGAGAAAAAAGAAAGACACATACATTCTGCTCGCATTTAACAAGATAATCAAGTTGTTCATCTATTTTTCTTGCCAAACCTTTAGAAATCAATCCATTACCATCTGTAAAACAATAATCGTTTCGTCTTATATCCTCAATCTTTGTTACACACATATCTCCTTGTTGAACTCTTGAATTGAATTCTTATGGATCCGAAATGTAGTTAAGTTTAATCTTAAAGAATAAGCATTTCATTCATAGATCATTATTAAAAACTGACTAAAACTATTTACCCCACTTGGATTACTCTTAGAAAATCATAGACCTAATCGTGCTACATATTTACCAATATTAGTGATATCACTAAAATCACCTAAATTTTCTCGTTTTTGATGAGCTTCTTCTAACGATGTTGCTCTTATAAACCAATAACTATGTTCACGTAATTGAGAATTTGATACAACCAAAAATTAGTAACGATGATTACAACTTTCAATGCCTGATTCGGAAACGTTTTTGAATCGATTGCATTTATTAATATATTTAGCTGGTGAATCTGATTTTAAGTATACAAGACAAAAATCATTAATATCATTGAAAGGTTTATGTCGAAGAGCACGATGTCCTTGGGTTTGTTCTAATCGCATAATACGTGTTGAAATCGGAGTAACATGAACAGTCGCCACGTCATATGATTGAGTTTTGTCCTTGATAATAATAAAAAAACAAGAGACTTGCAAATTTTCATTCTGTACTATCTAGAGATAGCTTACTAAGTTTTCTTCATCTTTCTTATGAGAATCATAGATGGCAGTGAATTCTTCATCATTAAAAGCAGTTGTTAAATCAAATGAATTATTTCTTTAAAGTCTTTTATAAGCATACAATGCCAATTGATAAAAACATTTATCATTTCGTTTAGCTAATTCTATCATCATATTTCGAAGATTTTCATTTGTTGAATAATTATTATCAAATACGAAACCAAGTAAATGAAGCAATTCAATAGTATATTGACAATAAAATGTTTTATATTCATTTATAAAAGATTTTGACCACATCATCAAAATACTATGAAAAAAATATATAACAGAATATACTAAGAATAAAATACACTTGTATTTGCTATCTTAACAACAATTTATAAACTAAACATTGTATTAAGTGACTCATAATAATCAAAGTTGGAAATTTCTAAAAGTACTTAAACGAAGTAAAACCTATAATTCATTGATTATTTGGCATAACCAATGAATCTACATTTATCGCGACTGGTTTTTTTTTCATGAAGTCGCTCCTAGTGTTATATTTCTTTTTTTGTATATCATTCGAGCGGAAGAAAAGAATTGCACAACATATGTAAAAGAACACATTCTATGAAGATTTCAAAGAGAAATACGCATGACAACAAATGTTTTTGCAAAAACAGTGTGTTCTTTGTTTCTCGCTATCGAATCAAGATTTGACCTAAAGTCAATACTGAGTGTGTCTGTGTTGAGTCCTAAATCTTAAAAATGAGTATTATCTTTGTTTTTTTATTATTATTAATAGTGAAGTATGTCTATAAAGGCTAGATCGAAACAGATATTTTTCAAAGTTTGAATTTATTTGAGTACATCATCCTAATTAACATTGATGAATTAGAAAATAAAAAAGTATATCAACCTAAGGGAAAATAACTAGAAAACTTGTCATAAATGATTGCACTTCTGGATGAAGTTTGCTAATTATCATTGAACTGTTTTTGTTGAATTTAATTAGATAACTTTGTAGTAAAAGCATTAAAACATACATTTCTTATAACTTATGCTATTAAACTTCATATTTCTTTTTGTTATTGTTGATACTTTTATGCATTTATTAATAATCATTAAAGTTACTGTATTGATACATATTACTGTATTGCAATTTTTAATTATGTTCAAGGATTCGAAATCTATATCAAAAAAATGTCAATAGTAGAAAAAAAATCATAATATCTTAAACCATTGCTAATAGAAACATCATCGAATAAGCTCAGTAATGATAATTTTCACATATATTTTTTTCACAATAGAAAAATGGCGAAATAATTACTTACTTTTTCTATTTGAATTCTCAACAAATTTGTTTCTTTGTTATCTCGTGTTTTTTTATTTTTTTCTTTCTTAAACTAATATACAATAAGCATGTTTGTGGTTACTTATTTTCATGTCTCATTTACTCGTTCTTTTCGTTCTATTTGCTTTCTGTTTTGTTAGGGGTGTGGGTGTGGGTGTGGGTGTGGGTGTGGGTGGGGGGTGTGGGTGTGGGTGGGTGGTGTGGGTGTGAGTGTGGATGTAGGGTGTATGTGTGGGTGTGCCTGTGGCTGTGGATGTTGGTTGATTCTTCTGTTCACATTCATACCCACACTCACACTCACCCACACCCACACCCTACACCCACCCACACCCACACCCCACACCCACCCACACCCACACCCATCCACACCCACACCCTCAAGATAGTTTATGTATCCTAAATCCGAGTTCAGTCAGGGGGCGAATCACTATAGGAAATAAGAAAACACCGCCAGTTTTTGAATGAGGATTTACACTGTTTTGTGATTTTTTTCCAGTAGGCTTGACGAAAATGGAAATCAAATTAGTGTATTTTGTAAAGCTCGTCGCGTTCTATCCGAATCTATTAGTTTTAGACCCAGGCCCGGTGAGGAGCAAATCGTGACAGGAAATAAGGGGAAAACGGCAGTTTTTGGGCTCGTGATTCGCAGTTTTTTCATTTTTTTTGGGATTAACTTTATGAAAAGGTAAATCAAAGTAGTGCATCTTGTAGAGCTCGTCGGGATTTACTCGAGTCCATCAGAAAGAAAGCTGGGCCCAGTGACATAGCGAATCGCGAGAGGAAAAACTCGAATCCTTACCTAAGTAGTGCTATGTTTATAAAACATCCTACGTTTGTCAAAAAACCTTTTCTTTAGTCGAAAACATCGAGTTCAAGGTTTTCAGAAACTGATTACAGATTGGGATTTCCCAACCCTCACTACCTTTGCCCAAATTTTATACAACGTGTCGATCTTCTTAATATCCGTGCACGTGGCCCAACACGTGCTTGCAAAGATACAAACTTATTATATTTCATATGCATTTCCCTTCAGTCGAGGGAATAATATTGTAATGAGTCTTTTCTTTCCACGTGCTTGCGAAGTAACTTGATGAAAAAGAGTGAATATGATATGGAAAAATACGATTTTTGGAATGAGTGGAAGATCTTTCTTGTGTTTTTTTTAGAATCATTTCTTCAAAAAAGTTCACTGGGAACTTAGAATGTATTTCAATGAAAGCTTTATTTATTATTCAGTTTTATCAGTCTTTCTAATCACGTTTTTTTTTTGTTAAATCAGATCAAGATAACAAATTTTGAACTATTTGATTTCATACGAAATCGAGAAATTGTTTCTACATAACCCAATCTAATACCATCAGACTGCTTACTTTTTGAATAATAAAACATTGAATAAATAGAAATTTTTAAGACAAATTAAGGCTGAAGTGATTGAGAGAACATATCATGGTATC